GTGCCTCAGTGGATTGAGGCTAAAGGTCTCATCTCCATGGTTAGCATACATCCAAGACATCCTACAATGCACATCAACGCATTCAGGATTTCTAAAAGAGAGCAAGTCTTAATAGTCAACGACTGGAACAAAATTATGAATGATCACATAGAAGTACTAGGGGGCAGCAATCAGAAGCGCAGCCCACAATTAGGAGATAGATTCATCTACATTCTCCAATATGATGAAGCAGGAGTGTTATACATGTTCTATGCTATTTTACCTGAGAGAGAGCAGCATGAGTGTAGCTAGTTAGAATGAGTTTGAAGATGATGATGTGCTACACTATGACTATGATGATTAAATAGCTAGTGTTGGTGATAATGACTATGATGATTATTATTAGCTAGTGTTGGTGGTGATTAGATAGCTACCATACCTAGTGTTGGTGGTGATTAGCTAGCTAGAATGAGTCTGAAGATAATGATGTGCTACACAATGACTATGACCGATGGTAATGACTATGATGATGAATAGTTAGTATATACAACAATGGGTGAAATGAATGTTGATTAGGTTCAAGTGGAGGCACCATGTGGTGCATGTCGAAAGTATACGTATACTTTCGACATGCACCACATGGTGCCTCCACTTGAACGTAATCAAAATTCATTTCACCCACTGTTGTATATACTAACTAATCATGGTGATAAAACCATATTATGAAAATACTGTATATAAAACCTATACAAATACGATGAAAATAAGCTGCAATTTAAAAAATACAGGAAAAATAAGCAGTAGCGCTTTTCAAAAGAAACGCTACTGCTACTTACAACTATCAGCAGCGCTTCTCAAGCACCCGCGCTACTGCTAACTAGGTATAGCAGTAGCGCTGGACAGACAACGCTACTGCTACATGTTAGCTGTAGCGCGATAGCAGTAGCGTTGGTACCAGCGCTACTGATATGCACATTACAAGCGCTACTACTAGGGTTTTCCCTAGTAGTGCACAAGCGACCTAGAAAACGAAGCGTGACTCACGGACCGTTCGTAGATGACAACGCCATGTCTTTCGGATGCTAATTTGGGAGTTTGTGGTGCTTCCGCCACATTAGGGTTGGGGATTTGAATCCCTAGGGTTCCACCGCCACAGGCACGGGAAGAAACAAAGAAGGGGGAGAATGGGGGAAAAGTAAACACATTTGCCAAGTCAACACCAAGTCAGATGTGCCGAATCATAGACCACCAGGCAAAATAGTTTTTGATGCGACACTAAACCACTTAGGGTTTGATTAAAATGGTGTTGACATTTTTAGGGTGTAAATCATTCCAAATTAATGTTTTGGAGGTTATGGAGACATTGAGTGGGATCTGAGGGTGAAAACTATACTTCTTTCTTTACATCTCCTCGGTGCCAAAACTTGTTTGGATCGGCTCAGCCTAATAAATATTTTTCTATCGGTTTTTTGTTTGGCTAGCTTTCTTCTACATGTTATAGGCAACCTTCCGACTCGATGAAGCGCCTAGCAGTCACACGAGCGTATGGGCCAGCCAGTGCACGGGACGGAAGGCCACTGCCTCATTTTTTATTTTATTTTTTTACTTTGTTTATACTTCCAATTTTCTAAATATATATATATTACAAAACCCTTTTCACAAACATTTCAAAAAATATTAATCAAGCATTTGGAAACTGTTAAAAGTACATAGAGAAAATGTTTCTCATGCACGTATACAAAAAATGTATACAAAAGATATATAATGTGTCTGAAAAGAGTCGATCATGTATTTAAAAATGCTAATCTAAGCAATTGAAAATATGTTTAACAAGTATTTGAAAAATGTTAGTCAAGGATTTGAAAAATGTTAAATGTGTATAGAAAAAATGTTCACCATTATTAAAAAATATACTTGTATCTGAAAAATGTTAATCGAGCATTTGAATTTTTTTATGTTTATAGAAAAAAATTGACCATCTATTCAAAAAATATGAATATAGTATTTAAAAAATGTAATCAAGCATTTGAATAAAAATGTTAAATGTGTATAGGAAAAATGTTCACCATGTAATGAATATTGTTTTAATCTTGGAGGAAAATGCCAATCAAGGATTTGAAAAAAAACTGTAAATGTGTACAAAAAATGTTGACCATGTATGGAAAAATGTTAATCTAGTATTTGAAAAATGATAAACAAGGATTTGAAAATTGTTTAATGTGTATAGAAAAAATATTGACCATGTGTTAAATAAATATTAATTTTTTATTTGAAAACTATTGAAAGTGTATTAGAAACATGTACTACATGTATACCAGAAATGTGCATAGAAAAACAATGTAAATATGAGAGAAAAGAAAAGGAAACCAATGAAAAAAGTGAAAGAAAGCCAAAGAAAAAGGAAGAAAAAGGAAAGAAAATAAAAAAGCCTGTGCGCAAGTTCTAGACCAGTCTATTTCTTTTAATTATGCGTGAATGGGCCGGCCCTTAACTGTAGACAATTCAGGCGAGACCTATGGAACACTAGAGAGCAACTAGTTGATGAGCACTCCTGCGGGAGCCTCCCAACGATCACTTGAGGGTGGGCTGAGAGCGTGCCACTTGACGCGCTCTCAGCTGCCACCACGTGTCGCGCTCTGGTGGCTCCCTCTAGATTTCTTTTATTTCTCTGCATGCGTTTTTGGCTTTTTAGATCGGTTATTTTTATTTTTGGCTTTTAGGTTTTTCACCGGTCCTTTTTTACAAAAAAATTGATTTTTTCGTGAAAAATGCATTATTTTCCTTCGTGAGAGGCACAATTTTGTTTCAGCGAGAGGCACGGTTGCGCCTCTCGGAAAGAAAAAATCGTGTTTTCTCTTTTTCTTTTTTTCCTTCCGTGAGAGGCACGGTTTTGCTTCCGCGAGAGGCACGACCGTGCTTCTCGAAAACGGAAAAAATGCGTTTTTCCATTTGCGAGGGGCACGGTTTTTCTTCCGCAAGAGGGACGACCGTGCCTCTCAAAAACAGAAAAAAAAAATGTGTTTTCTGTTATTTTTCCTTTCATGAGAGGCACGGTTTTGCTTCCGTGAGAGGCATGGCCATGCCTCTCGGATACGAAAAAACACATTATTTTTGCTTCCATGAGAGGCACGTTTTTGCTTCCATGTGAGGCACTCGGAAAAGGGAAAAACATGTTTTCTATTTATTTTTCTTCCGCGAGAGGTACTGTTTTTTTGTCCGAATTTTTCGTGGATTTTTGCCGTCAAAACCTATCAACATGTGATCTATTTTTGAAGATCTCGACCCGACGGATCCAATGATGAAAGCGGTTTAAGATTTGGACGCACGGTTTAGAAGATAAAACATTTCAATTAAATGGATCTAAAAAAAGGGAAATCTCCTAGGTAGCGATAAGTGGCGCACATGCAGCACGCCACTTGTCCCAACCTGGGGAGGTGAAAGTGATCTTTGGAAGAAATACTCCTGAATTAGTGATTTCATTCAATATAGCCTTTGCGTATGTTCACAATAGCTATATGTGTGTCGATTCATCTTCCTTTCCATTCCCTTTTTCTTTTTTTTCATATTTTGTTCTATTTTTTATGTTTTAATTTTATTCATTCTTTTATCTTTTATCTTTATTATATTTTACATTTTTTATTGTTCCTTTTTCTTTTCTGCTGTTCATAATTTTGTAATTTTGTAATTCGTCACGTATACCAAATATGTTCAAAATTTTGTAATGCCCGTTGTGTTGTTAAGAAAAGGCTCACATCGTATTTTTGAAGAATGTTCACCATGTGTATAACAACTTTTGATGTGTACTTTTAAAAGGTTGATCATGTGTTGTTCATCGTGTATTAAGATATATTCATTTTTTGTAAATATTTCAGTGAATATTACATTTCTCCGGACTGTATCTACAAACTGATCATCGAGTATTTTAAAAAGGTTCAACTTATTTTTTTAAACATTCGATGTGTATTGGAAATGATATGATTTAACTTTTTAAATTAATATGTTTGTATAAGAATTTTAAACAGACGGTGAACAAGTATTTGATAGATGGTGAACATATTTTCAATAGACAATGAACGATTTATTTAATATGTGATGAACATTTTCTTAGTACGTAGTGAACATTCCGTTCTAAATTATCTAGTTTAATACGCGATTAATGTATCAAAAAGTTTGTTGTGTATTTTAGTAAGATGTGATTTTTTTCAAAAGATGCATGCATTTTGTTAATATATATTTTCAGAAATACATGATAAAAAATTTCTAATACATGTTGAAGCTTTTAAATAGACGTCGAACTGTTTTTTTTAATATAGGATGAAAATTTTATCAATACATGATGAACATTCTTTTTAGTCATGAACACTATTTTGAATTACATGAAGAATTTTTAAATACACGGTGAACAACTTTGTAATATACTATTTGTTTTTGTAAAATACGATTTGAACATTTTTAGGACATTAGTAAATTAGCTTTTCATGCATCTCTCATTTAAAAGGAAATAGGTTCTTGTATATCTCTCATTTAAAAGAAAAAAAATGAAGGCAGAGAAAAACTTGAGAAGAAAAATGAAGGCAGCGAAAAAAAAAGAGAGAGGAAAAAAGCGAACGGAACGAAGCTGGGCGTACGCGCTGCGGTGAGCACGTACGCGGCAGTCAGCCACAGTGCGGCCAGTCCTTGTGAGTGACGCGCCCGCATCTTGCGCTGTTTGACCCGTACGTACGAGTGCTTCCACAGCCACAGCGCCGTCAGAGGCGGCCCCACCCACACCATTGGCCGGTCACTCCACCTCCACTGCACCTGCTCTGTTTTTGCGTAGCCACCACCTACTCCGTTGGAGCGCAAAACAAAAACATTCCCTCCCACCTCTCCCTGCTCCTCCCGCTCGCTCTATAAATATTGCACGTTCTGCTCTGCTCCTAGCTACCATTACTGGTAGCACCATAGCACCTCCTCAGCTTGAAGGCCGCAAGCAGAGCAGAGCAGAGCTCACTCCGTCCGTCACTGACCGCTCCGCTGCGATGAAGGTAATCTGATCGATCGACGATGCCATGGATCTATGCATCTCTTCCCGCTTTTTGGTTCTCTTCTGAACATGTTGCTCATGTTTTTATATACCATGCAGAAGGTGCGGGCGAGGCCGCGGCGGATCCCGGCGTTCGGGGAGTGGAACTACTACGACGACGGTGGGTACGGGTACGGCGACGGCGCCGGGGACTGGCCGGTCACCCAGTGCTTGGACTCCGCCATGCAGGCCGGCCTGTTCGTCTCGCTGCCGACTTCACCGAAGCCACTCAAAAAGGTGAGTACGTACTGCATGGGCTCGTCATCCTTTTCGAAAAAACGCATGGATTCTTCATGAGCAAGCACACGGATTCTTGCCTTATGAGTTTTGTTACTGATTTTGTAAACAACTGAGGAGTCCTTCTGATTGCATCACATAGTCACATAGATTACTACTAAATGAGTGTTGTAGTACACGTATAGAACGAGCTACTTTTTGGAAAAGTTCGGAGCATTGTAGAAATGAAGAAACGCAAACGTTTGCGGCAGCCGCCCTAGCAAAAGGAGTAGCAAAACACATGGAATAGTACGAAATACAGTCATGACGTCCAGGAATAAGCCTTTCGCTCTCCCGGTGTCGAAGTAAAAAAATGCCATTGTCCTAAAAAGACAGCGAGCCCTATAGCTATACAGCTGCTCGCAGTGGAAATGCTGTTACTTTTTGCTGTAACCTCTGTCCTCACTATTACTAGGTGGTAAAGTGGAGTGACAGCGGTACACTTGAGGTGGACGGGGAGCAGAGGCAGAGGCAGAGGCAGAGGCAGAAGGTGGTGGTGGGGCTGCGCGAAGAGCACGGGCCGAAGAAGCCCATAGAAATTTACCTGAAAGTGTCCGACGCCGACGCCCACCTCGCCGCAAGCTGCAACAAAGCTTCTCGCAGGGCGAGGGCGGTCAAAGCCGTGGACGAGGACCTCTACGTGATCCCGCCGGACATGCTCTGCCACAATAATAACCAACGCGTAAGTGACCTGAAGGATTTGTCGTGTTTACTGTTTATTTATGGTCTTATCTCACTGACAGAAGAATCATGTACTACTCCATTACTTGTCCACTGTTTAGCTGTGGTCTTATCTTACTGACAAGTGTTTATTGGCTCCTACGACTGCAGAAGAGGCTGACACGAGTGTTTAGTGGTAGTACTGTTTAATTGGGGTCTTATCTTACTGACGGGTGTTTTATTCCTTGGTGCAGAAGAGGCTGACGAAACGGCTGTGGATCGGGTGCCTGGGATGCGTCTCCGCCTAGGGATCGTAAACCATCTGGCCTTGGCGTGCGTGCGTGCGTGTTGTAAAGAGAGAGAGAAAAGAAAGAGGAGCGGAAAGCCATGGGCCATGATGCTGTCACGCCATGTCAAACATCCTCTCTCTCTCTCTCTCTACTATAGTCCTAGTATTATGCGTTTTAGTATTAGGATGGATGGACGGATGGCTTGATGGACGGAGACGGCGACGTGATGCGCGGCACGCGGCAGGCAGGCAGCGTCATTTCCCCGTGCCAAACGCCCACTCGAGTGCTGCTTTTCTCCTTCCACCGTTGCATCTTCCCGAGCTTGCTTGCTACTCGATGTGTCTATGTAGTTGGAGACTTGTTCCGTGCCTGTTGAGCATGCATGAAAAGAAAACAAGAAAGGAGAGGCCATGGCGGTGGTGTCTTGTTCTGCACGACTCCAACCGTATCTCTTTCAGTTAATCCATTGCTTTTTGGATGTCTCTTGTTATTTCTCTTTCGATGTCTTGTGTTAGCTTACGACGTAGGGTATGAATGTGATTGCGCGCTGATTCTTTCCGGCCTCGCTGATCGGTCACACGATCGCCGCTTTATGCAAACGCGTCTAGTGTAGGGATTCAGGCGGGCTGCGTCGCTTATCGGCAAGCTTTCCAAGAGCAAAAGGCATGAAATATAAGATTGTTTAAATCACCACGCTCTTTTTTATGGAGAAAATACTAATCTTCATTACTAATAATATAATAGTGGGAGGTCTAATTATATTTTTATTAGACGTTGGTCTGCAGCCTTAAACGCGTGTGTGCAACGAAATGCAGTTTCAACAAAATGAAGTTGGAGATGACAACTTTCGCACATTTTGCATTTTCAAGGCCAGATATTTCTATCTATCAGATTTTTTTTCCAAAAAATGCATATAGATATTTTACGTGAAAATATAGATATTTGATAGTACTAACTTACTCTTAAAATAATACTATGATGATCTGCTGCATGCATTAAAATGGGGAACTTAAACTGCAGCACTCTCGATAATCGGTTTTACCATTTTAATGCATTAAAAAACCAGCGAACGTTCGTTGTGACGGGTGTCATTTAAGAACGTTTTTGTGATAGTTCTTCATGTGTGTGTGGATGTGAACCGTGTTGTACCCTTTGGGTGTAGTGGTTTGCTTTATTTATAAAGCGGGGCGAAAGTCTTTTTAGTGATAGTTTCTTTAAAAATGTATGACAATTTCTTCAGAGATGCATATCAAACTCGGAAAAGAAGGAAATTTGAAGGCAAAAGTGGGGAGAAATTGCCATCTGCTACCACCTAGAGATGCCAACAAAAAATGTTTGTTTCTCACCCCCCCCCCCCCTCACTAGGAACGTTCGCCAGTCAGTATTTCCATTTATTTTATAAAAATACATGAGCAAGTTTCCGAAAAATATCTATTTTGCATGATTTCTTTTGCAATTTTT